AGTCTGTGTTCCTTATTGTATAAAATTTATACAATAAGAAACACAGACTCAGCTCTGATTAAAAAGGTGTTTCTGTTGTATGGACCTAGGCCTATCCTGATCAGGTATCCCCCACCATATGTTTTCCTTTTTGTAATATAAAGAATTGTTCAAATTCCATTTTCATGTATATATGGGGATAATGTTCCCTATATCCCCATACATATTATATAAAAATTAAATTCGAACAATTCTTAATATTACAAAATGGAAAGCATATGGCCATTATATCATACAATATCTTAATTGCCATATAAACAATTAGTTTGTGCAAAAGACAAAAGCAAAAACAAACATTATATAGCAAAGAAATAACAATTCTAAAAGAAAGGAACATAAGGGAAAAATATATATATAGCTAGAGGATACATTGTATCTCCGTGTTATGATTAAAAACTGGTTGAACTTCTTTTATATATCAAAAAGATTACTAGAAATTTCTATTGGGAGATTTCCCAATGAAGCTACCTTGGCTTTAACCAAAAACATAACTTTTCTTGCTTTTTCGCTAGGTCGTCTAAACTTGAATAAGGTTACCATCACTCTTTATAAGAGTTTCTAGGAATTTATATTCTAATACATTTTTCATCATATTACCATTGTAGTTATGAAATGAGCCTACACTTTTGGCAATATGTGGCTGTAAAATCATGGTTTTGGTTTTATTTATATTTATAGTAAGTTGCCAATTTTCACAGAAACTACTAAATCTATTTATACTGTTCTGTAGACCTTCTTTACTCAAAAGTAGATCATCTACAAAAGATAGTGGTCCAAGGGTTGAGTCTACTAGTTTTGGATAACAAAAAATTATTACCATACATTGAGTAAACCATTTCTATAGATAACTCTAAATACATGTTCATAGAAAATGGAATTTATTACAATTTATTAAAATAAGATATGCTGGATTGGTCCTGGACCCGACTGATTTTAATATTTCATTTACTGTTATCTGTTTTTACCCTTTTCAATTCCTTGTTATCTGTTTTAAGCCAAATCAATTTGCTGTTTTGCTGTTATTGGATCCCCCCTTGCCCCCCCCCCCCCCCCCCCCCAACAAAATGTCAAGAAGAACATTACAACAGTCAAATCGAAATATATTTTTAACACCATTCATATACAATTAAGTAAGACATCACAAGACTTTGGTGCCATTTGTGTCATTTTGTCCTATATAAAATGCATAGGTGCTTCATAATCCGAATAATTCAGTTGTTATATTTCATTCACGTCGATCACTAAATTAACAAGCATTATTGCCAATGTATCTTTTTGTTTTCATTACAAGAGCCCTTTGGGTCCACTTATACCACTCACTTCCTCAAAATTTGTACTTTTTATACGACCGCAAAAATTTTTTTGTGGTCGTATATTGGTATGACGTTGGCGTCGTTGTCGTCGTCGTCCGAAGACACATTGGTTTTCGCACTCTAACTTTAGTTTAAGTGAATGGATCTCTATGAAATTTTACCACAAGGTTCAGTACCACAAAAGGAAGGTTGGGATTGATTTTGGTGGTTATGGTACCAACAGTAAAGGAATTAGGGGCCAAAAGGGGGCAAAAAATAAGCATTTTTGTAACTTCCAGACATAACTTGTGTGTTAGTGTATGGATCTCTCTGACATTGTACCACAAGGTTCCATATCACAAAAGGAATGCTGGGATTGATTTTGGGGGTAATTGCCTCAAAATTTCAGGAATTAGGGGCCAAAAAAGGGGCAAAAAACAAGCATTTTTCTAGTTTCATGACAATAACTTGTGTGTAAGTGTATGGATCTTTCTGAAATTGTACTACAAGGTTTCATATCACAAAGGGAAAGCTGGAATTGAGTTTGGGGGTAATTGTTCTAAACGTTAAGGAATTGGGGGCCAAAAAGGGGCCAAAAATAAGCATTTTTCTAGTTTCCAGACTATAACTTGTGTTCAAGTGTATGGATCTCTCTGAAATTGTACTGCAAGGTACCATACCACAAAGGGAAGGCTGGGATTGATGATAGGGGTAATTGCCTCAATATTTTAGGAATTAGGGGCCAAAAAGGGGCAAAAAACAAGCATTTATCTAGTTTCAGGACAATAACTTGTGTGTAAGTGTATGGATCTTTCTGAAATTGTACTACAAGGTTCCATATCACAAAGGGAAAGCTGGGTTTGAGTTTGGGGGTAATTGTTCTAAACGTTTAGGAATTTGGGGCCAAAAAGGGGCCAAAAAACACATTTTTCTAGTTTCCAGACAATAACTTGTGTTCAAGTGTATGGATCTCTCTGAAATTGTACTGCAAGGTACCATACCACAAAGGGAAGGCTGGGATTGAGTTTGGGGGTGATGAATCATAAGGGGGTTCAAAAAATTTGGGGGGGGGTTTCCTTTTTTTTCTTTTTTTCCTTTTTTTTTTCTTTTAAAATTTTCCATTTTAAGTTGGTTATTTCTGATTTATATTTAAAAGCAAGTAATAATGATATGGTAGGAGATACACACCAAACAGGATGTGTAAATTATTATATAATAAGTATTGCACAATAGCAAGAAATCTTCAATTGCACAGTATTGCGCAATAACAAGAAATATCCAATAGCACAATATTGCGCAATAACAAGAAATTGTCAATTGTACAGTATTGCGCAATAGCAAGAAATATTTAATTGCACAGTATTGTGCAAAAGAAGATACTTCGTATAAATTGCTTATTTCTTGACCAATTTCAATGGGGTTTTATTCTTGAATTCTTGGGGTTCTTTAATATGCTGAATCTAACCGTGTATATAGTTTTTGGATTTTGGGCCCCGTTTTTAAATTGGTCCACATTGAGATCCAAAGGGTCCAAAATTAAACTTTGTTTGAATTCATCAAAAATTGAATTATTGGGGTTCTTTGATATGCCGAATCTAACCGTGTATTTAGATTCTTAATTTTTGGTTCCGTTTTCAAATTGGTCTACATTAATGTCCAAAGGGTCCAAAATTAAACTTAGTTTGATTTTAACAAAAATTGAATTCTTAGGGTTCTTTGATATGCTGAATCTAAACATGTATTTAGATTTTTGATTATGGGCCCAGTTTTCAAGTTGGTCCAAATCGGGGTCCAAAATTAAACTTTGTTTGATTTCAACAAAAATTGAATATATGGGGTTCTTTGATATGCTGAATCTAACCATGTATTTAGATTTTTGATTTTTGGGCCCCGTTATCAACTTTGTCCACATTGAGGTCAAAAGGGTCCAAAATTAAACTTTGATTGATTTCATCAAAAATTGAATTCTTGGGGTTCTTTGATATGCTGAATCTAACCATGTATTTAGATTTTGGATATTGGACCATAATAGGTGAATGTCCAATTTAAAATTTTTAAGTTCTTAGACCACATTCATTCTGTGTCAGAAACCTATGCTGTGTCAAATATTTAATCACAATCCAAATGCAAAGCTGTATCAAGCTTGAATGTTGTGTCCATACTTGCCCCAACTGTTCAGGGTTCGACCTCTGCGGTCGTATCAAGCTGCGCCCTGCTAATAAATCAAAAAATTGAGGTTACTATCACACATTTATGAATGAAATGTGACAATAAATGAGTAATTGAATTGTTCAAGCTGAAAGCATGAACTATCCATATAAAAGTTTAGCGACTCAATAGAGGTTTCAATAAGGCCATACTTAAAACTTAAGTTTAAGCAGCGTTCAAGAGAGGGAGATATAAATACTGTGTTGTTTCTGTTTCAAAAAGTTTACTTTTTAATGTACATTCTTTACAGAGTTACTCAGAATCAAGTTTTTTTTAATAGCCCAATATAGGAAATTAGAAAAAAAAGTCAGAAAAAGCTACTCAAAGCACTGGCTTGCTCTACATACTAATATTCATGGAAGAGGCCTCACATTTCAAGGCAATTTTCCCTCAAATAAGTTTTGGGACTCAATCCACTGAGAATATTTCATTTTCAATATTTCCTTGAAATAACATGATAAGTGATTTGCGTATTAAAATTTTGGCATGTTTAATAGAGGGGGGATCACATTTTTTAAATGTTTTTACAGGGGGGATCAAATAAGAATAGTGAAATATTATGGGGGGGATCAAGAAATTTTGTATGTATGATTTCAAAATGACCCTCCCAGGTAAAAAATGATAAGTCCCTTAGGTGAAATTAAAAAAATCTAGAATTTAAAATTGATACTATAAGTCATTAGTTAAGGAACAAAATAAGCTAAAAATATTGATAGGTTATGGAGCTCCTTTTCGAGATATTTATTTTTTTTAAATGGCGGGAAATGGCTGACTCGGACTTTTACCTTATATTTGCATTGGTATTATTTGGGTCTCAAATCGAAAGAAAAGAAATCTAGAATCTGCTTAAATTTAGGTAAATGACCTTTTATGAGCTATTGAGGTCTTATTTGAAAAGAAAAATGGGTGCTATTGGGCAGAATATTTTACCCTGTATCGTAGGGAAAAAAAAACAAGAGGAGTCCGAACATCTGACCAAAATTCCTAAACCTGACCTAAGTGCATCCTTAAACCAAGGAATTATATATCTAAATTACAATTGTATGCTCAAACTAAAAACAATTTTGAAATGATTAATTTTCACATTTGTTTATAATATTAGTACTAGTATTTTCAAATCATAAATCTATCGTTTAGGTAGAAATGCAAAGTAAATGCATTCAGAGCTTTTTGACCTATAATCGATTTGGTATTTTTTTTCACAGTGTCATTTGTTTCTTTGTCTGTTACGTTTATTTACAATTTGATCCAAAGTTGGGGTCGAATTAGAGCTTGTCAGGCATACATTTTACGTTCACGAATATCATTTGAAGACCTTTTATGATAGATGTCTATAGCTATTTGGAATTACTAATATATGACCTCATATATACACATGGTGCTGTTTTTTTTTTTTCCTTTTTCATTGGAATAGCCTCACATATACTGTTATTTATATTAAAATTTGTCCTTTATTTTTAGTGGGAATCCTAAGCGATTTCACAGTCAGGATGTGCTCAGACTGTCAGGTCAACAGACGACTAAGATCAAAGACTTATCTGGTCCCGTGGAAGATATTGAAACAGAAGCACAGAGACAGCTAAAGACATTATTGGACAAGCAACTCAGAACACGAACTACACTCAAAGAGTAGGTTTGAAAGATTGATATCAGATGCAAAATTTTGCAATTTGATATGATCTTCTCTGTTTTTATTTGAGAATACATTGAGGCTAGGCTTAAAAATTTGAATATAGTATAAAATGTCATGTGTAAAACATTTTTATAACGAAAAAAGAACTTAAACAGAAATTAAAGTTTGGTTTTAGAGATCTATAGCTATGTCAAACCTTCATGGAATTTCATTAAACTTGAACAGAAGCTTCTTCATGATCAAGAAATATATTTTTGAAGGTAATATTTCGAAGAAAATCATATTTCAATTCTTCCGTATTTCATTGATAACTGGTTAACATTTTGGCAGATAACATTTTTTCGATAAAATTAGGTTAAAGTTTTTTTTAGAAATCAACAACTTTACCAAATCTGTATAGAACATTGACAGAAGCCCCGAAGAAGTATATAATTATATTTTTTTTATTTCGTATTATACTGATGGATGGACTTATTTTATTTTACAGTTATCAGTTAGATACAGGCTGGGTTTAAATTTTAGGCATCAGTTACTTTGAAAAACCTTAATGGAATTTTACGAATATTGCATTTTTTTTAAACTTTTCTGTGTTTCATTTGATTAATGGAATTACATTGTTTCTTTGGAATTTACGTATAGAGACAGTCGAGGGTTAAACTTTTAAAAAATCAAATCTCGTGTAATTTCAAGAAACTGAAATATGTTGAGCAGGATCTGCTTACCCTTCCGAAACACCTGAAATCACTTGGTTTTTGGTGGGGTTGCGTTGTTAAATCTTAAGTTTTCTTTGTTGTGTTCTGTGTACTGTTGTTTATCTTTTGATTGTTTTTCTTCTTTTTTTTTTTTTTGCTATGGCATTGTCAGTTTGTTTTCGACTTATGAGTTTGAATATCCCTTTGATATCTTTCGCCTCTTTTTTTTGCAGTAGCCGCACTTCTACAAAATCAAGAGAATCCATCAAGGGAAAAAGAATATTCCCTTCAATTTACTGATTAGTGGAATTTTATGCGTTTTTTTTTTCTGATGTGAAGTCACCATTTAAGTACAGTTTGATTAAAGGTTGAAACTTTATGAAACTTTTCAGGAATTTAACGAAACTATGACAGAAGTTTCTTCATACTTACGATGGCACTCTGAACAAATTTTCTTTTTTTCTTATTTTCGATAAATAATCTGAATTGTTAGCGATCAATATTACACAGTTACACCGATTATTTTTACATTTTAACAAGACAAAGCAGAAGTTACCTGATCAAAATGTTTGCTTCAGCCATGTTAATTTCAATTGCCAAAAATATTTTTTTTATAGCTCATGATGAAATTTAAATTTAACTTGGTCAACATAATTATGAATAATTTATGAAGTTTGAAAATCTATTTATTATACCACAACAAAAGGAGGTTTTATATTGCACTTACCTTGTCCGTCCGTCCGTTCGTCCAACGATTATATCCGGCACTCGTTTCTCAGATACAACTGAACAGAATGAATTTATTTTTGTTCAACAGCTAGATATAGTGATGAGTTGTAATGCCAGCAACTTCCAGGTCTGTCAGATACCTAAGTCCTGTTTGCCGATACTTTGAACTTTACAATATGTTGAAGGAACTTAAAATTTTTCGTCATTCTTTTCTAAAAAAAATTATTCAACAGAACGACTTTATATTTATTAGGTCAGCAACTTGGCAGTGATGAGTTGTAACCATGGTAACGTGTCAAATGCAAACTTCCTGATTTCTGATCCTTTGAATAACGAGTGGGGGTATGCTTAGCCCGACAACGCGTGCAACGTCGTAATGATCAAAATACAAAATAATGAAGTATAGAGAATTTTATTCAAACACTATGACCCATCTGTTGTTATATATTGAAACATACTTGCCATGCCAGAAAAGATACACCTCTTTCATATTACATATTATAAATGCTCTCATATAAATGCACTTATTCCCAAAATTTCCTTATGAACAAACATATTATTTACAGGCAGCTTGCACAAAGTCGTAAGTTTACCAATAGTACCTTGTATGAACCATCTACAGATTCTGTAACTGGTATTATAGATTTGTCTGATTATAAAGCACTTGAAGAGCAAGACAGTCGGGTTAATGAATTACGATTATGTGGTCTTAGTGATGAGGAAATTAGACTCAAACTGGAAACAGAGGATGGAAATGTGGTAAGTGGTAATGTTTTTGTAAACAAACAACATAATTAGCAAAAAATTATTAGTCATCTAATTTAGGATTTGAAAGCATTTGAGATGTAAGGCTCATCAAAATTGCTTTGTGTAATTAAACTGTTTCCGCTCCCGTGATTTTGAAGAATTAAAGTAAAGTAATAATATTAAAACTAATATTTAGTTGTAATTTATCAAGATTCAAAATGTTGTGTTATTAATATTATTCAATTTTTGACTTCAAGAGTAGACTGAATAGAAATATGGTCACCTGGACTTACTCCATCCTAGTGACTAGTGTAAAACCCATGCTGAAAAGAGATGTCCGTTTGGCTGTGCGGGATGTAATCTAAATACATAGCCGCTTCCGATTGGAATGGGGTTAAATTCCATGATTCGCATAGGGAGAGTGTAAAGCCCTTGTAATTACTCTTTTAAGGATCAGTAGGATGTTTATGTTAAGGTAACATGTATACTCAATTATTACTCATACCCAACATTATTATACCAAATATATTGTTACCTTCTGATTCCATTGGATGTGAAAATTACCAGCCCTTCATCCGATTTGACCCAAACTGCAGAACCTACTTGCTTGATTTACGTACTTTCTGGATTTACTGTTAATCTGTTGTTTGAAATATTTACCACTGTACCTCAAAAATAAATCTTTCCACATTTTTAGTTTGATTTTTAGAAAATATCATTAAAAATTGTTTAAAACTACTCTACAGTATGCATTTAAACGTTACACTTATTATAATGATAATAACTGCAATATAATCAAAGGGAGTTGCATAGTTTATATGATTTTGACAGACTATAATATATTGCATACACTACTGAAACACCGTGACTGAAATTATGTACACACAAATGTTTTATTTTATGTCATTAAAAAAAAATCTTCTTGCAAACTTTATCTTCTTACCTGTAAGTCCGACATGGTTTAGATATCGAATAATTATTCAATTTGGAATTTGACTGAACTTTAAATTATGTCCTACCTTGCTGCATTTTTTTTTATAGTTTTTCATGTTACTTTTCCGAGTATATTATTGGCAAATGAATTTCAAATTCCTAGTTTTCTAGTCGAGCAAGAAAATTTATGCATACCCTTCCAGAGCAATTTGTGTTCTACCCCGGTTTTGGGGGGTTTTAGTTTGGTCAATCTCAAGTTTTTCTGTGAATTTTTTTGTCTTTTCTCCTTTTTATTTTGGCCGCATTGTTACTTAAATTTAGCAGATCGACTCTCCTTTCCTTTTAAGTGAAGCGTGGACATAGGATCTGTATTTCAATCAGATTGACGATAATAGTAGCCTTTTCTTCCATTCATCTGTCCATATCGTAAACTTGGATATGTTACAAAAATGTATATTTGCCGTTTCCGAAGCCGAGACATTTTCTCCGATGTGGTAAAGTTTTCGAGTTACTAAGTGTGATTAGATTTTTCGCGAATTTGGTAACACCGATAGGCCCCGTATGATGCGGATTCAGCAAGTAAAAAATCCATATTTTTGCACAATTCAATTGAGTTATCTTCAAACTCAGTTTTTTCAAAACATTTGATAACTCAAAAGTTTTTAAACCTTTATTGTATGGTCTTCCGCTCTTCAAAAAAGCTCAAAAGGTTTAGCTCAGCCAAGTATTAAAAATAGCATCATGTGTTATATCATTGTACGATAATTTTTAATATGCAGACCAGAAAAAACAATACCCCGTTCTATCGTAGGCGGTGCACAAAGCACACACGCTTAATACTAAATAACATTAAGGTGATTCAAACTTATTTTAGTTGAAATTAGTCCATTGATTTTATAGAAGATTTTTCACAACGTATACAACGACGACGACGACGATGGACGCCAAGTGCTATCATTAGCTTGGTCAACATCCCTAATGCGTCTCAAATTGGAGAACATAATTATAATTTATAATATGTGGGCGCACCTGTCCGTCTCTCATCAAGTTAAATGATTTTTAGTCAAGGTGGTTTTCTATTAAGTTGTGGTCACATCAACTTGAAACTTCGTATGCATATCCATTATGATGTTAACTTTAGAAAAAATAATAGATAGATAGAAACTGAAACAGCAATCAAATATCAGCAAGATAAGATTTACAGATAAGGCAATATGACTGAAATTGTTTTTGGACTCCTTTAAAGATTTATTGCCCTTAGACGATGATATGCATCCCTGTTAAGCTGTTATCATTCGCATTGTAATATACTAGATCTATGTAATGGATAGAGAGAAACTGTAAACAGCAAAAAGGTTCCGCAAGTTTATATGGTCTACAAGTAAATCAAATAAAGGAAATTGACAGCCGACTCCTTATAGGAGATATCGACTATAATATAAGACTATTTTTACCAAAACTTAGCTTTTTTGTTTGTATTTTGCAATTCTCTTGAAAACTGTTATACATTTGTTTTGTACATACTAAAGAGAAACTGTAAATAGCAAAAATAAGCATGTTAAAAAAAGCAAGATAGAATCCACAAATTAATCAACATGGCTTAACCGAAATCATCATTTGATTTCATGTAGGAGATATTACCGTAAATTAAATGCTGTCCTCTTTTTAGCATTTTGTCATATTTTTTTTTATAAAACCGTATATAGATAGAGAGAAAACTACAAAACAGGTCATCTAGATAAGATCTGCAAATAAGCAAACATAACCAATTGCAATAAAGGTGAAAATAAATATCAAAATGATATATGTTTGACGGTTGAGCAATTCATACGCTTAGGAACCTCTAGTTTATCTCATACATTGACTCTACATTTGCGTGAATGTCTGTTTAAATCATCATTTATGTATTTAAAAGTTAATTTCAATTGGAATAAAAGCATGTTATGCTTACAAAGGGGGATCGGCCTAGTAGGATGTTTATATCTCAAAACAATCTTCAATTTCTACTTCGATTTTAGGGAGGCAAGAAACCAAGACTTGGACAGGAGCCATCATATCTACAAGATAAGCTTGCAGAAATTGACAGAAAAGTAGAGAAACACAAAAAGTCATTGACAATGGCTGATACATTTTATGGTCAAGCAAATGTTGGTAGGCATGCTATGGATTTAGAAAAGTCTCTTGTCAAAGACAGTACTGATAATAAACGTTTAAGTTCTTTGTTAATTAAAAACAAATTTTCTTCGGATTTTCCTCACCCTGGACATCCCATGAATCATATTCCAGAAATTTTAGAAGAAATTATAGGGAAGAAGTTATTTAATAAGAAGCATCACAATTCGAATAGGCGTAATCATACTGATACTAACAGAAAATCTGAAGAACTCTTTACTTCTGATGCTGAAGGAAATGATAGTCTCGATAATGTTTGCAGTACGGTTGAGGGAATTAAGTCTACCTCGTCGTGGCTAAGTGAGCAGTCCACTGAAGTGATTGGTTGTAAAACCAAAGAAGAAGTAATAGATCACGTTTTATCTGGTGATGTTGAATGTAGTGATGATAAACAATCTCAAAATTGTACTGGTGAACTTCAGACTACTAAAAAACCCGAAAATACAAGTGTTAATAACAAAGTTGTACTCGGTATGGTAAATCAAATTCCTGAATGTGATATTATTGCAAATAGACTTTCAGTCGATGAAATACGAAAACTTCCAAAGTTTGAAAATTATGAAGAAGGAATCCAAAATAGTGTAAGTATGATTGTCTTATTAAGTACCGAATGGACAAGACTACCCAGCATATTGTAGATACACATAAACATCTATTTCCTACTAATTTTGCATTGAATTTATATTTTATTGCTGTCAAAAGGAAGAATAAACTAAGTGTAAAAAAGCACAAGCCAAATGATAGATAGACAACACAATGACTATAACATTCAAAAATACGAAAAGACAAACAATAGTAAAAAAAAAACAGTACACAGGAAATTCAAAATTAATCAACACCAAATTCTTTTGGGTGAACTCGGGTGTTACTAAAAGATAAGCAGTTCCTGCAATTTTAAATTCAGTCTTGTTAACCTTTATTACAGCATTTAAAACCATTTGAAAGAAAGCACACGGATATAACAAAGGAAATTACAAAAATAACTTGCTTTTGCTTTTGCTTTTTATTTGTATATTTTTATACAGAAGAAATTTATATTTTGTATCATTAAATGGAGAAAATTTTTTTTTCATCTTTTCAGGTTTTATATTTGAAGAACCTTCCTAATAAAATATCAGAAAATGAACTAGGCTCTTTGTTCCTAAGGTTCCAAATGTCCAACTGTTCTCCAATAAAATTTAGAATTATGAGTGGAAGAATGAGAGGTCAAGCGTTTGTAACCTTTGATAGTAAGTACCTATACAAAATAACAAAAAAACTATCAATTAAAAAAATTCTTTTGACTTCTATATATAAATTAATTCTTTGTTCATAATTTGAATTTCATAGATGCAATATTATTCTGCAAAGCAACTACATGAATTTGTCTTACAATTGTCGAATTTACTAAACAAATAAACTCACCATAGATACCAGGATTAAAATTTTGTATGCCAAATATTGTGTTCAAATAAACTACTGTACTGCTCTATTGTATATAGAAATATCGTCTTTTGATCCTCCTATTATAAATGAATGTTATTATTCAAATTACTCTTTACGTCACAGTTTATTTTGATGTCCGGATTTTCATGTTCAGTGTCTATATAACTTCAATTTCCATCAAAACTGGCACTTTATAGCATTTGGATTTGTAATTGTAGGAATAGGAAACAAGCAATGTACGTTCTGTGTTGGAAATCATTACATTTATTTTTAATCTATATATATATATATATTTAAAAAAACTATTTAAGGATACATATATGCTGAAATCTAACTATTATAAGAATCATACTACTCATCCAATGGTTTTTTTCTCAGTATTTAATAACTCAATTCTGATTGCTTTTCATATAACAGAAACATTTGAATTTTCAAATAGATTTGTTCTAACAATGTATTCTGAAATATTAATTCCTTAATTTTCAGGTAAAGAGACTGCTTCGGAAGCCCTTGGTCTTGTAAATGGATATAAATTACACGATAAGCCCATCATTATACAGTATGGAAAGAACTGAAAAGGCTCAATGGAAAAGCTTAAAAATTATGTTCACTTTCCTTACCTTACAACGGACACCAAACGTTTAAATTATTTTGTGTTATGTTGGCTTAAATAAACTCATCATAGATACTAGGATATTAAAGTCCTTTGTAGACTTTGTGACCTACATACAGATACTGGTCAGTTAAATACATACACTTATCCACCATTATTGTTTTTTTACAATTGTCCAAACTCTTTTAAATTATGTGGTTTCATGGCAATCTGTGAGCTGTAAATATAAATGTGATCACTTACCTGGATAATTTGATGTTATGGTATTGTGTTGAATCCATATATTAATGATCAGTTGTCTTTCCATGAATTTTAGCTGTATGTTCTAAAACCAAGTTAAATTCTTTAATCTTAATTGATATATTTCTCACCAAAACTATATACCAAAAAAGGAAACAATACTAACTGGGGGATACAAAATCATAAGTTGAAGGAAGAACAGAAAACAAATGGCCATAAAAAACGATTAAAGCAACAGTCATCAAAACACTTCATAGGAAATGAAAGATTCAGTAACACAAACCTATCTAAAACTGTGGGTGAACTCCGATACTCCAGAAGGGTAAACAGTTTCTGCTCCAATTGTGACATCTATCATGTTGCTGATTGGCAGTGAAAATTTACTGATAAGTTGCATTGTAATAAGATCTTTTCAAATTGAAACATTTAACAAACGATAAGTGAGGATAGGAAATGCTTTTACAGTTCAAAATATACTTTCTTCTTGACTTAGCATATAGGCTCAGATATTGTCCAATACACAATTTATCAAATAAGTTCGGATTTCAATTGTACAATTTGGCTTATACTCCCAAATGAGCACTGTTCACTCTGAAGTTTTTTGAAACTAAATAGACCGTTTCGTTATGAAAATACAGAATATTCATATCAAATGACAACTTGTCAGTTTTTATTATTTTTCTACGCAGGTAATGTTGTTGTATGTCAAAGGTTACGTGGCAGTATAGTATAGAAGAGTAATTACACACTGAAACTGATTCAATTTATTAAATATTAAATCAAACAATGTGTTTATTATGTGAAATGTGTTATTTCATCATACCTGAAACCCATATATTATGCTAATGCTAATTCAACTCCAACCAATGTTTTTAGGTGTTATATAACACTACAGGGAGATAACTCAGTAAAAATCAGCTGAACGTTTTCATCACATTCTATTGTTAAAGAAAATATAAAGCTTCTCAATGATTAAAATTAGTGTTTGTCAAACTGCTATATATCCAATGAAATTGTAGTTCAAGTTTTTTGAAATTTTTATATTTTTGTAAAAGGGTCAAAGTAAATATTTTGTCAAAATTTTATGAAAATTAAACGAGCCAAATTCATTTTAGTCAAAGTGTTTGGTACCACCTTAAACATGTTAAATAAACTTGGGCAATGTGTTTGACTACTGTTTCTTAACGTGATATACATGTTCAAACTAACAAAAAACTATAACAAATACACGAATATACCACAAATTACACAAATTTGTACAATACATTTTCAACAATAATAATAACAAAATATCACAGATAATTCACTAGTCACTGGGATAGTGATGATAACAACTAATACCTAAACCCTGATATTCTGAGAAAATAAAACCAACAATAATATACTAATTAAAACACAATGTAATTTGTCTACCACTCATAAACTGCCGGAAATGCAATTATGTACACAATTTAGCACTTATTATGCTGATGGAAATGCTTACAGAAATCGTATTCAATTTGGTGGAAATAGTGAACATGAAGAAATGCCTTAAATTGCAACAATACAAAGATATTAAGCGGTTTTTTATGCATGCAAAACTAGATATTTAATTAAATGCAGCCTTTAATGATTTAGGTCATGCTTATTTGCAAATTTCATCCGTTTATTAGAGAATAAAAAAATGCAGATGCTTTATTTTATGAAGATACTGAACCTGAATTGCTGACTTATAAGTTGAGTAAAAAAGAGTTGAAAGGGCTTCGACAACGTTTTAAAAACATTGCAATTGAAAATTTACAATGATTTTTTTTAAAGCAAATAATTCTAAGTTGTATGTGTAAAATATATCTCAGTGTACATTGAAATAACATAAAAAGGTAAAATGTACTGCAACAGCTGAGCATTTTGACACATCAAGTCTCCCCAGTAATGTTCGAGGTAAAAATATTTAAATTTACAAAACTTCGAGCTAAGTTGGATTGAAAATAGAGTTAAACACTAAAAGACATTTTTTTTAGATTTTTACAACATTATTATTAAGTTTAATGTATGGAAAAATAAAAAGCACTTAAACTTTACATCACGAATCAACATAGTATCTTCAAAAGATTGTTGATATATTAAATATTCATCCCTTATTTTACTTTTTTTCCCCCAATAGTGCAGTGCCAAAAAGTGTACATGTTCTATGTTAAAAGGTCCTCTATCGCTTTATTTTTACAAAGTATCTTATACTCGTTATAAAAATACTCTCTACTTGTGTACCTATAGTAAAATTGCCGTAACCTAGACTGTTTTAACGGTTAACGATATTTTTAACAAATATCTGATCATATCTAGTTACTGTCCTGTTTCTCGATTATTCTTTTAAATTATGACTAGTCCATCTCTTCACAAGTCATTTTCAACTGTTCCACTCAAAAATTAAATAAATCATACAATCAAACAATAATACCTAACGTTAACTGATTTCTTAATACTGTTCATATTTTGGATATGCAAAAAGTCGAATCACAACCGACAATCATTTACATTTTCCATGAAGACAGGAAATCCATTGATACATCGTGTTCATTCCGCGAGTTATTTCCCTTACTCGTCTGCACTTCAGCCATTTTCTTGTGAAGACCGGACAGATTTTTTCTTATTTCTTCCTCCTAAAAAATAATATACATACATCTATACTTAACAAGTCATTGAATATCTAAAAGTGAGCAGACAAAAAATCACCACTTTAAACAGGACTTAACAGTAATTGCCTTTTCAGAAAAAAATAAATCTTACATATAAAAGACTCATGATATTACTGAAAATTCCGAAAAATTGTGCCACATACGATTAAAGCAATATATGCCTGAGGGTAAACGACCGTAGTGTTTCGAGTTATTCCACATTCAACATTAATACACTGTAAATTCAAAGAAAAAGAACATATCAATGATAAATTCCTGACAACACAAAAGTGCGGATTATTGGTCTGGTGATATCCCCAGAGGAAAACCTTTGAATAACGAGATGACTATATTACCGTTTCAGAATTCGTTTCCTGGAGGTCTTCTAGGATGTTGTTGCGAAGAGCAAAGAATGAGGTTCTAATAGCACTCTGCTTTGATTGCTGTCCATAACCTCCAAAACTAGGACTACTTCGGTTTCCATACAGTATTTCTTCTGTTTCCATGTCAATTCTTAAATTCAATAATGAAAATGCTACATATTTAATTGATTGATTGATTGTTCCTTACTTAGTATCCAATACATGTTTGAATATTCAAATCAAGAACCAAACAATTAATCATTTCAAGCAAATATTGTCAAACTACTTGTTTCTAATTTAAAAAAAAATTAAAGTATAATAAAAATTCAGATTATAAATTTTTAAACAAACACGAGTTTATCTAGCTTTTGCTGCTTGTATTAATATATATAACCAATGTCAAAATAAAATAAGATGGTGTATGATTGCCAATGAAACAACAAATGAGATTCTAAATGAAGCAGATTTAGGCAAACATGTTTTCCCTGTAATTTTGAATATAATAGGATATTTTATAAGGTTATATTTTTTTTAATTTACCTGGCTTTTTCGAGATCTCGTGCTGCAACTTCTGCCTTTGATACCATATGGGTACAAAGCTTGTCAATAGATTTGGCAAAGTCATCAAATGAAGCTAAAATGAGATATAAAGGCACATTTGTTAAGGCTAAGGCTAAAGTGAAAATGGTGTTTGCCTATCTTGATTAAAAAGGGCAAAATTAGAAGATGTAAAGGTCTTATTTATTAAATTCACTACACTAAGCATAAACAGGAATAATTAAATCTCGATGTACATTTGAAGGTGTTTCTGGTTTTTTTTTATCGGTGAAATGCAATATATTCTACTGAACTTTTCTTTATGCATATAAAAATATATGTCCAGTACAAAACATTGTCTTTTATAATTACAATAAAAATAATTATTACTATAGTGCCATATCAATATTTGCCCATAAGTTAAAAAGTCTCTTTCCTTAGTGATACAATAGAAACAAGTATTCCTTTTTAGTTAATATGAAGCTACTGTTTTTGTAGGTGACATGATCGTTGAGACACTTACAGTCCCTTTACCGGTAATGGGAGAAATTGGGGTGACGTGTTTTTTTTCTTACCACCCCTCCCCCTAAAACAGTTGACTTAGTATTTTCCTGTAAACAATGATCACAATCATATTATTTGCACGATACTGCATTATCCTGTTCGAAGTTATTTTTCTTATGTGAATATTTTGAACTGTGTTGTGAACAGAAACTGTTAAGAGTGTTGACACGGTTATTTGAATACATTCAAAGTGTACCTGTCATGAAACATGCGTATTTGATTGCTTTTAAGACTGCTGTGCGTGGTGAAATTGCTCGCAATTTTTTTTCAAATAAAATGTTAGTCATTGCCTTGTCATGTTAAGAAAAAATATTATGTATTTGTGACGAGAAATGTCGATTCTTATAAAATCAGAAAATATGGAAACAAAAAAGTTCGATTTCCGTCTACTTTTTGTTGGAAATGTTAAACTTATTGTTCAATATCGTTCAGTTACTTCGTTTTCTTTCCGTTTATTGACACAAATTATGTTATACTTGTATCCGTGATGACAAAGTAAAAATAAATGTGTAAGTTAAGCAATAGTGATAAATGTTTTAAAATACCTTCGGATTCTGTAAATCACAACATATAAATTTAATTTTAAAGTACTATTGCCAATAAAGATCTTCAATTTGTAAAATACATGAAATACAATACATGTACAAGATACAACTCTAAATTTCTCAAAGGATATTTGTTTGGGGTCTAAAATCCTGACAAGCCATTTCCTGTATGTGTGCACATATAATATTGATTACTTTGGTTTCTAATTTAGATTCATTAGTTTGCATTGATGAACACATTAGATTCAGATTATACTTTTTAAAATAAGACAGGTGTTCTTGCAGATCAGAAAAATATAAACTTTTATTACAATTGGTGTTATCCATGTTTTCATATACTAGCAGTTGACTTATTGGTAAAATAGTTCTTTTAATGTATTATAGTTCATTCAATTTGTTTTAGTAATACAAATAGTGGTTGGCGTTTGGCAACCAATTAAAACGACCATTTGATAATCTGCAAGAGACAAGGTTTTTTTCTAACGGAATATTAAAAAAAAACCATCACAAATACCATGCTTAAAATTTTGAACGCCAGACGCGCGTTTCGTCTACAAATTACTCACCAGTGACGCTCGAATCAAAAAAGTTAAAAAGGCCAAATAAAGTACGAAGTTGAAGAGCATTGAGGACCCAAAATGCCGAAAGGTTTTGCCAATTACAGCTAAGGTAATCTATTCCTAGGGTATAAAATCCTTAGTATGTCGACAAGTTCAAATTTTATAAACAGTTAATTTATAATTATGACCATATCAATGATAATTCATGTCAACACAGAAGTGCTGACTAGTGGGTTGGTGATACCCTCGGGGAGAAACCTCCACCAGCAGTGTCATCGACCCAGTGGTTGTAAATAAGCTCATCATAGATACCAGGATTAAAATTTGGAAAATGTTTTAATATTCACCTATGGCAGCTCTAGTTTATTTTTTTCTCACTTTTAAGCACTTATACATCATGCATTAGGTTGGGCAAAATATTAATCTTTTGGTAAGACAAGGTTATTTTTCCCAGTTCTTACCAGAATAAAAGTTCATTTTCAAAATCCTCCAGAATATTGAATGTCACCCCCTAATAAACAATACCATAAGAAAACAAATTGACACCGAAAGTTTTCGAAATTCAAAGTCGATTTCATAATTTATACATAAAGGTTTTCGAAAGGAAAAAATAGTGTTTAATGTACTTACCTTTCATAACTCCTTCTACGCCTATGAGGTCTTGTTGAGTAATAGATGTGTTAGCTAGTTCCTCTCCCAAACTTTCATTCAGGTCCGGAATATCCCCGAGTAATTCATGGAACGATTTCTCGCTGCTTATTAGAGTTCCATAATTTCGACCAATCTTCCTTGCGGCTTGTGACATTTTTCGACACATCGTATTAATATGTCGTAGCCTCTGAATCTCTTTCTCAATGTCATCATTAAGTGTTTCCTCTGAGACTTGTGACTTTTCCTTCATACTGTGCCAATACTTCTTAAAAACATTCATAGTTCTGTTTTTCCAGCTGCGACGGCCTCCCCAGTCTGTAAAATTTAATACTACAGTAGTCTCCAACGAAAATAAAAAATAAGACACCAGCTAATTTATGATTCATTATCATATGCAAATATAATTGTATTAGTAGGATATCAAATGTTTTCTTTCCGTTTAAAAAGTATGGTGTCAATTAGAACAATCACAGAAAAGGGATAAAATAATCAACTAAATCTTTACTTTTCTGTTGTCATATATTGCGGAATCCTCAGGTCCAAAATTTACTAGAATCGTCTGATATATACTAACAAATAGATGTTACTTACCTTTTGAAATGTGTTCCTCTTTTTCTATTTCATCCAGTGCAGCTTCAACCTCGTCTTGATCAGGTTCATCATCCAACTGTCGTGCCATTTTACTTTTTAACTGTGCTTCCCTCAATAATTCTGGGACTCTAGCGCTGCTTTTGTGTGGCTTTCTAGGTGTTGACGTTCCTGATAATGTAAAGCAAATATGAGTGTCGTCTGCATCATTTGTTCTTTCTGGCATTCTATGGCGTGGCATAGTGGTTTAAAAAAAATTAATAGATGTATATACCAGTACACAAATTTAATTATGCATGTACAGACATAATTCTGTATATGCGTAAATCGATTTCTGTATATACGAAATTATTTAATTATTTTTAAAACCTTTCTAAAATTGCCTGTTTATGAATTTATTAATTTTTGAGAAACTAAGGTTTCAACTCTCTCAGGAAAAGTTGGCCTTAGATGGATTTGGCTATTGTTTTTATGTCCTTTTTGGTCATATAGCTCTTCAGCTGTTTCGGTTCTGATACATCCTTGGCTTTCAAATATTCGGCTTTGGGCCTGATGAAGATAAATCCAGAAAAGCGCTTCGGACGCATGCAATTTATAGAGTGTAAAATGCATTGTTACCATGTACAGACGGAAAAAAATACTTATAAATTGCAGCTAGTTTATACATATAAAGCATATACAAATGTATAATTTATACATATTTTCTTGATGATATTGTATTTAGGCATTCTATAAAAAAACAAAACTCATCAGAGATTTTGTACGCAGACGCACATTTCGTTTACGTAAGACTTATCAGTGACACTCGAATTAAAAAAAAGTTTTAAGGTCAAATCATATACGAATTTGAAGAGCATTAAAAAAAAGAAATTCAAAGAAAAAACATATACTAGTTATGTCATGAATAAAACACAGGGTGACATTTTAGACCGAATACTACTATTTAATAGTCATGGAAACAAATATGTATTTTGTAAACTGTTACAAAAGATAATTGAACAATATCCCTGTAATCAAAATTTATTTACGTTACACGACGGAATGCGCAAACTAAATTTGGTCTAAAAGTAAAAAGTAGGATTTTTACTTTATTCTAGCAATGGCCAACCTGATCATAACACCCATACACACAGTCCACACATCTAAATGTAATTTAGAAATATTTTAAAATTACCAAGCGTAGGTCCACTAAAGTGATGCGATGGTCCGGTGAAGCTATCGTCTCCCTTTGATTCTGGTATTTCCGAGAACGTGAGCTGAGTCGTGTCTTTGTGTAAGGATCTCATACTGTGGTGCAGGAAACTTGTTTCTACGTTTTTAAAACGACACAACATGTTGTATTATATGTCGAGTTTAAATTTTTCTTCAGTTAGAAAATATAATTGCAGCAAACAAATCTGTTGTTACATTTCTATACTAATAGCAAGATTATGGAATATAAATCTAAAGCTATAAATACTGTTACAGAAACACAGTGTGTTATCTTATAATTTTACTGGAGAGAGCTATGCTCGTAGTATAGACTATAGATCTACTACAAAATGACCAAGAGACAATAAAATAAAATAAAACCGGATAAAATAGACTATTGATTTTGGTAAAATATTGTCTGGTTATGTTTTTATCTTCTTTCTTTCAGTTTTAAAAGTTGTTAAATTTACAATACCTAATTGAATTTCCAACAATTTGACTTTTAGTGTCTCCTTTTTCTAAAACTGACTTATGAAAAACAAAACTCATCATAGATACCAGGATTAAAATTGTGTATGTAAAGAATCTCCCAATCAGTACAAAACCAACCACCACAGTGAAAATAAGAGACATCAAGTGAGAGTGCACTCTCACGAAGAGATGAAAGGCGTTACTCTAAGGGGTGAATAGACATACCAAACACACACAGCTTACACAATAACCTTTAGATATTAAAAAAAGAAGATTGAATATTTGTAAGCAGTTCTATTTTTTTTTTCTTTTCAGTTGAGCTACTTTATTTTATATGTATTTTTCTTTTTCTTACCTGCTCCAGTGAGCTCTTGCTGTTGCACATGTCCGTCAGGTAAAACATATATATGTACCCCACCTGTATTTCTACTATGGAAAAGGTTTTCACCAGTGGTAGTGTGCAAGGTTACATCTTTCTTAACATCATCTTACAAAACATAAATATTCTAATTTCATGGCAAAATTTAAGTTTTTAAGACAACGAAATTGAAAATTATAACATACAAGAGGTACTCATATAGTACATAAAACGGAAAGCAAGGTATCTAATAAAGGAAAAACAATAGAATACAATAATAATGGTAGTTCTCAAAAGCATTAAGTCACACGTTTCTAAGACTAATTTAAGACTAAAAAGCTAAACACATGAAAGGTTAAATATGCATGGTGGCTCTCTAAAGGTGACAGATCAAAGCGTTTACATGTATTTTAATGTTATATGCATCAAGATCATTAGTCTTCTTATGTCACTATATTTCTTTAAATTTCATATGCAATGCAGATTAGAAATAAAATTGGGTTTTTTTCTCTTGGTTTATTGAAAAAAAAGTCATTAAATCAAAAAAGGAAAGTGTTATACATGTAAGCTTATCTATTCATATCAATCAATCATAATTTATAGTATCTCAAAAGTTTGTATAGCTTTGAATTGCTCTTTCAGCAATGTGCTAACAATGTTGCAAACATAAGGAAAATACGAGATCTGATTGGAAGATATAGACTCAACGAAATTCTTACATAACAAGTATAGAAAATATTTTATGTTTTGAGAGAACAACTACACGTGAAATATTAGATTTTTCATCAAACACTATTTTGAATAGAAATACAGAGTGAAGTTTGTGAGGGTTATTTCAGAGTACCGATTGTAAAACTTACCGTCAATAATTATTGAGGGAAGAACATAATCATCTGAAATTCATTTACCACCAAAATGACATATAAGAGAGAGCCTTTGTAAATGGTTATAAAAGTATTTTTTCTGATTTTACTTAATTATGTATATGTCAATGATGTATGCAATATATTTATGTGAAGATTAATGAACTGCTTATCATTGTAAAAAAATTATTATAATCCGATTCTTCCTTTATATAATAAAAAGTGAACAATAAACCAAATCGTGCTTAATAATTGTTATGGATTTATGCATGACGACCTTCCACCGTGATTTACAACATACGTGTTGGTGGAGGATAGCGCAATGTTCCTTTTGGTGAACCTATCGAAAAGTAAATAAGAGAGTGATCCAAATACTTATTCAGTATAGGAATACTACAATATCTTTTTTTTGAATTAATATTAAAAACATTATTAGAAAACAACATCCAAGCACTTCATTTCTTGCGCTTTGATAGTTGTTCAGAATCAAGAGTGTACCGATGGCATATATCTATTGACTTTTTGTCAACAATATTCTTAAAGAATTCGTAATACAACAATTGAACATATATCGGGTATCTTTGTTATTTTTTTTAGTATAGTAGTTCCTACTCACAATAATTCCAACTCAGTGTTTCGTTCGTATAGCTTAAATATGAGGGTTTTTTTTTGCACCCCAAAAGATGCATTGGTTATTTTCAAAAGTTGTATCATATACTTACATTGATTTAAGTTTGTAAATATATGTTGAGGTGGGTTGACGCGAAGACAATTTATCCTTTGAACTTTTGAAAATGTAGTTTGAACGCCTACTATTAAATGGTTGTGCTTTTAATCTCTGTAACATACACGAAAGGTCAAAATAATAAGGTTTGATGAAGGTGAATCCAGAAAATCGCTTCGGACGCACGGAAATTAGTAAGTGTTATTTTCATATCTTAGATATCTACCTTTTTTCTCTAACAAATTACGTAATACTTCAACAGCTGCTGAAAAGTCTCCATCTTCCTCAACCATTTTCAAATGTTTGAATTTTCTTACAGCTGCCTCTAAAGATGGTATATCAGATATTCTGGTAGCTTTTCTTAGTTCTTTTCTAGCAATGAGTTTTCCTGAAAATGAAGGATACAAGTTCGTTTAAATAGGAATATCATATCGTCTTTTTCTAGTGGTACACCAAAGCTTAAAGTCATACTTTAAAAGCACACTATTTTTCTGTTAATAAAATAAAATTGTTGACAGAAAAAGAATAAATTATTCATTCATCAATGCATGATCTATAGAAATCAATTTTCCTAATCTTTCAATAATGTTCTCTTTTATATAACTATTTACATGCATAATCATTTAGTTTTGCAAAATATGTTTCACTTATACTTTAGAAGATCAAGTTACATATTTCGATAATATCATTTATTTACTATACCTTCTTCATCTAAAAGTTCACGTAGGAGAACCTCGGCACGAGTTATATCTACAGTAGCACCCTTGGGATTCAATTCCTTAGCACGTGCAAGACACTTTTCCAATTTTGGCCGGTTTCTGTCCTCCACCGCCTGATTCAAACGTGTTATTATACGGCTTTGTTCTGAAAATGAATGAAAATAACACAATAAATGCAATGTATAAATATTGCGTTGATATGTAATATTATCTCTCTCTCTCTCTCTCTCTCTCTCTCTCTCTCTCTCTCTCTCTCTCTCTCCTACAAATTTATTTCTTTAAATCTATCGTGTTTCTACGCTCCATTGTGTAATACTTGTTTTATGATGCATTACATAACTTTGTGTGTGTCTGTGTGCACTTACTTTCAGCTTCCTTAGATTCTAGTCGGTTCAATGCTTCTCTGAATGTGACTTCTTGTTTCATTTCCATTTGCAACAAGTCCTCCTTGGACACAACCTAAAGGGATATATATATAAACAAACATGAAAGACAAACTTAAAAGAACATACACCAGTGACCTTACAGCCATAACTATCTCAAGGTTATCTTTGCCTTGGAGAATTGTGTACATTTAAATATTCTATTGACTGCAAGTATACTGTGATATTATCAGAGACACCCAAAATAATAATTCTCGGATATGAGCGAATGATACCTCGGTAATTGAAACCAAGAGGTCGTTGATAGCTGCATTAACACCAAAAAAATAAAAAACGGTAGGGAAGGGTATTGTACAAGCCATTATTTTTCCCCTTGTATTGTAAAAATTATCTTAGTTCTAATGATAAAAGATATAATCTTGATACATGAGTTCAGAAATGTCCGTTTTGATTTTGACTTATTTGACCACTAATTGTTACTTTGTACATTAATTTACGTAAAATTATATTTGAGCCAAGGCCTAACCAACAACGATATTTTGCCCTTATCAACATCTTTCTCTTGTCAAAAACATATTGTAGCAAAGAGTCTGGGTAAAGCCCGACTCATATCTAAATATCAATGAAATAACCAACATGATGTTATGTGGCCTTTTAGGCGGTTTTTCATTAAATGCATGAAGTCTGAAGCCCTAACGCATCTAAGTAAGACACAAATACTCATATATCTGACAGACAAATGTCTTGTGAACTTCTGATGAATGTTGTATGAAAGATTCGTGATACCTTTTTTTAAATATTCAAGGGGCCAAAATTAGTGAACTTATTTGATATTTTTCTTTGCATTGATGAATAAATCAGTTAAACATAAAACGTATTTCATTTGCATAGGTTTGATAATGGGATGAATAGAAACCTCCTGTACAAACCTAACATAGAACGCATTCAAAGATACATATGATTTACTTACATTTTTTTTTCGTACAAAATTTGATTTATTAATTTTATCATTGTCTTCATTTTTGATATATTTATTTATGAAAATTAGAAAAAAGTAAATTCAAATTATGTAAATTTATATGTTAGTACAAAATGTTGAAAATCTAGATTGTATAATTTTGACATGACATTAGTGGGAATAGGTTTACATGATTTTAACATTTATAATCATTTGTTGTGAAAGACTGGTATTCATTTCACATGCTTTATGCTGTAATAAAACAAATGCATAAATTACACTTACTTCGTATGATACTATCTTTTCTGCTTGATCCCTGTTTGTTTCTTTTGCCATGATATCTATAACACTGCCCGGCGGCCCAGTTTTAAGTAATCCCTCCCAATATCCATTTTCATTTTTCTTCATCTTGCATTCTGGGTGACCTTTAACTAAGACAACGCTCGCTTCAGGAATTGCAATCGATATCATCACTTTTTCATTGGAAGGTAGACAGCAGTGTTCAGGTTCTTTTATGCTATATCCATGGCACCAGACTGGCAGCAGTGCAGTTGTAGGTACTGGAGTTCCGGTCAAGGTTGGTAACACGACTTCAATGACTTTGACGTATAGTGGCAAGAATAAATCAGAATCGTCAACTGCATCTGCATTTCGTGCAAACACAGTTAAGGTGTATGTTCCCATCTTTGGGAAAGTGGCACAAATCAAAACCAGTTCTCCTTTTGTATCGACTGTGACATAGTTATGGTAATCTGTTGTTGTATCACCCTCTTCCAGTTCCAGCGATGCGGCAACCAGTATGTTTCTTGTTCGTTTGATAGTCATTTTATATTCTCCCGTAACAAGATTAGTAACAAAGGACGGCCAAGGGTCATCTTCAGAAAATCCCAATTGAGCAAATGTTGCAGTTGGACCTAATTGTTTTCCATCCGTATCAGGAAAGGGGTCAGATTCAAGGGGGTCGTCCTGACAGCTGACAAGATAACTACAGGCTGGAGCAAATCTTGTTTTCTTGTTCTTTTCCTTTGCCATTACATTTAATGCGTACTCTCCTGCTTCCGGAAGTCTCACGTTAATGGACATTTCTCCATTCTCAATTGTATGGAGAATATGACCTTCGGTGACAGGTACATCCACTTCGCCCTTCACTAAATCATGTTTGAATTCAAGTTCTCTATCCAATGAAAATTTAATTTCTGCATCGCCATCATCAGCTTCGATTTGACCCTTACGATGAGTTAACGGTACCATTCCCATATCTGTCGTATCCTCCCCTGGTCCCCATTCTTCACGAATATTTGGTGGAAGTGGTTTACAGTCTTCCTTTATATCATGGCAAGTGAGGAAGTATGTCACAAGCAATGCATGATGCGTGTCTGACTTTTCACTACCATGAAGTTCAAACAGAAATTGTCCTAGAAATGGAAATCGAATAACGGCTCTCATAACTCCTTCGTCGAGGTCTCTTTCCAAGAAAACAAATCTATCTAAAGCGCTTCTTGTCGGAATCACTTGCTCTCTACAACCTTTTGACCTGTACAGTTTGTAAGCAAAAGTCATACGCTTGCTAGTGTCAAATCCGATTTCGAATGTTACTTGTCCGTCATTACTTGATACATTTGACTTTGGATGTGATTTCAAGGTCAATTTTTCTTGAAAAAAGTCAGATCTTATTGCTGGTAAATCTTTTGCCTCGTCGTAAGTTACAGTTCGAGCCAACAACTGCCATTTGTCGTCATCTGGGAAATGGTCAAAAACAAATATTTCTGGGTCAGCTAAAAAGTAAAATTCACGAAATCGGCAATGCGTTTTATATGTTCCTCTATTTTCTTGCATTGCGCGCTTTGTGCTAACTTTTCCTTTTTCGTCTTCAATCAGCCTCCAATTGTTCTTTGTAACGCCATAAGCTGCTTCACATATCCAGCGAACATCAATCAGACGCCATTCACCATCTAATAAGGCCGCAGTCCAGGTTTTTCGTTGATTTTTAAAATCAGCGCCAACCTCATAATTGATCGTGTTACGTACACAACCTCTTACTAGCTCAAATTTTATATCTGCATGTCTGAAAAAAAGACAATTGTATGAGAGGTAAATATGGGTTTGGATTGTTAACATTTCTGCTTGTTGTTTTCTAATTTTTTGTATATAAAAATAAGGAGATGTGGTATAATTGCCAATGAGACAACTATCCACAAAAGTTCCAAAAAAATGGATGTAAGCAATTATAGGCAACCGTACGGCCTTCAACAATGAGAAAAACCCATACCGTGCAGTCGATTTTAAAAGGCCCCAACATGAAAAATATGAAACAATTCAATTGAGAAAACTAACGGCCTAATTTATAACAAAACAATTTTTAAAAAATACCATGCTTCTGTATATCCTCAATAATAAACCAAAAAAGCTTATGTTTACAATTGTGCTATCTGAGTAAAAGATCGTATGTTTGGAAAATGTATTATAATTGAACTTATGTACATTTGATAATATTTCCACAATGATAAACGATACAATCGTTTTCTGCAATATGATCAAACTGGTAAAAAAAAAAATTCACAACAAGCTCATTGTGTACAAGAGACTTAAAAACATTCAATGAATGCAAACAACATACTCGCAAAGTACATGGAATAGTTCGTCGTAATCCATTGTCCGACGTCGAAGCTTCCACAAATAACTTGCGGTAGAATCGTCTGTCGTCCATTCTGTTCTTGGTAAATAGCGTACATAGTCATCCTCCAAACATCGGGCAAGCCATCTGTCAAGAAAGGTCAATACATTAAAACCCACCTAAAAAGAACCCTTCAATACTGGTGAATTTGTTCATTTATCATAATAAGATGATATTTGATGAGTTTTTACTGAAGGCAGGAGTCTAGTTTACACGTGTTTCATTTTTTAAGAAAATTCAACAAATGTCTTGATACAAAGTTCTCCTCGGGCAGGTTTCTGGTAAATGCAATGTTTTATCAACACAGGTTGCAATTACATATGGCATATACATTTGACTTTATACGGTTTTGTCTGTGACAGTCCTGTTCTGGCCTATTTGATGTTAATGCTCTCCAAACATTTCATATTTTGCATTCGAAACTATTGTTCTCAAACTTACCTTTTTAATAACATTAACGGTACCAATTAATTTTATTGCATCAGATTTGCATTACGACAAATAATGTCTCTTCGGTGATGTTCGATGCCAAAATATTTGAAAATCAAAGACCTTGAAGAACTAACAAAACCAATAAGGACCAAAAGTAAAGCCAAACTCGGACAAGTTTATTCCAGAAAATAAACCATGTTGTACGTACGAAAATAAGTAGAATGTGGTTTAATGCATCAAATATTGGCATTTTTGTTAATTACTTTTTATCCATTACTTAAGAAAAAAAATTGTACTTTATTTTACTTAATTTCTAATCTTTGAATATAGTTTTGATTTTAAAAAAAATGTGATGATTTTGAGACTAGAATTAAGGCAGTGGCATCTTGTCAAGTACATCTATTGACACAGTAAAGGTAATACTGTAAATTCAGAAATTATTGCGAATAATGCGACTCCTTGAGTATCGCAATAATAAGAACTCGCATTCTGATATTTTGTACATATAGCTTTGTGTAGCTTTTCCTAAAAATCGGAATAATTAAAATCGCATTTTTGTTCATTCTTCAAAAATCGCAATAATAAATGCACGCAATAATTTCTGAATTTATATATGTTACAGTACCTTGTCAGGACTCTGGCTTTGTCTACATCTGTGTCTGTTGGTTGGAGGAGATAACTTACTAAGTATCGAATGTGCTGATTGATGTATGTAAATGGTGTCTGTAAGAATAAAGTGCAACATAAATATTCATAAATATTTTTGGCTAATCATAAAACTACTTGAACACCTTGTTTTATTATTGCAAAACAGCTCTCTGAACTTGATTGGGTGACGATCTGTGATTTCAACTTCATTTTGCACAGTGGACCTAAGATTGATTTGATAAACACTACACTTTTCTGTTTTCAAGACACAATGGCATTAAGACTAGTATTTACAACAAATCTTCGAATTGATATGTAATCTATGTAATATTTTTGTTTCAGTCAAAAACATATATATAATACACTACTATTGCACGACAAGCAATAAAATAAAATAATAAATGCAGGTACTGTAATGTCTTTAGACATTTCAAATTTTTTGTCACTATTTCACTCAAATTAGTCTATTGATTAAGTTGGTAGTACTGGACTGATAAACATTTACACAAACCTTAATTGCGTGTTCATCTAAAACTGCACATGCTTCCTCGTCCAGCACATCCTCTTTAGATGTCATAGGGGGAGAGGGTAGCACGTTCCCGTCGTCATCAACTGGCCGTTCCCAGTCCAACCTCCGGTAAACATCTTGAGCTTCCTTCAACAATTCAGGGGTAGGAACTTCTCTGTGAAAGCCGAGTTTTCTAAAATGTTCAGTAAGATCTTCTCTCTAAAAGAAAGATAATTAGGTAATGATTGAAACACGTTAATGTCTTCTGTTAATTGTCGATCTGAATGAAGGATAAGTGTCAACACGGAATCACATTGTTTAAAAATGATGAGTATGCAGAATTTATGACAAGCCTTAACCCCGGACTGAAAAAAAGAGGAAGGTAAATTCAACCAGTCGTTTATTTGTTCATGAATACCAACTACTTTACGCTTTTATATAATTCTTATTAACGCTTACTTTCCCTTTTCATATTGTCGTCGTATTTTTTCATTCTCCTAAGTAGTACACAATTGATTGTTATTGATTCGCCCTTGTTTGTTGTTTATCTCTATAAAATAATGAGGTGTGGTATGATTGCCAATGAGCCAACAAACCCTCAGAGTCCAAAATGAAGTGGATATAGGCAACTGTATGTCCTCATACGGCCTTCAACAATGAGTAAAATCCATATCGTATAGTAGGCTCTAAAAGGCCCCGACATGACAAAAGGAAAACGAGAGGCGAAAGATACCATAGGGACATTCAAACTCGTAAGTGGAAAATAAACTGACAACGCCATAGGAACAAAGAAAGACCAAAAGACAAACAACAGTACACAAAACACAACATGGAAAACTAAAGAATGAGCAACACAAACCCCACCAGTGATCTCAGGTGCTCCGAAAGGATAAGTAGATCCTGCTCCACATGTTACACCAGTAAAACAATTCAAACTAGAAAACCAACGGCTTTACCTATGCTAAATCAATAAGATAACAACTAAATATGTCAACAGCAACAACTAACGATGACCGCTGAATTACAGGCTCCTCACTTGCGATAAACACATAAAGAAGTATGGATTGTCGGGGTTAAATATGTTTGTGAGCGCTCAATCCATCCCTAACCTTGGACATTGGTAACAGCACAACATAAGAACAAACTAACAAAAACACAATAACCAAACGTATCTACCTAGTACCCACAGTCATTGAAAGCTTGTTCAAAGCCAATTAAAGCTCTGTATTTTAGTCGCATCTCTGTTTTGTACTCTTGTCGTGATGGAAACGTGTCACTAGCCAACTTTAAACGCAGTTTTTCGCGATAGTGGCAATTTCCTTATTGTGTAAGATCCTAAGTATGCCTAAAATATTTAAAACTTTACGTTTCGCAAACAACTAGTTTTGTATCTTCATCATATGTAATCACATAAGAACAACTTTTTTTCCTTAATAACAATGAGTTGCTCTGTTTTGAAAATCTATTTGATTTAAATAAATTGGTGTATGCTAATGCCAGACGAAAACGAATTCGTGTTCAATTGTCTATTTTTATGATACAAAATCTGTCAGAAAGATTGTCAAACTGACAAAAAAATAATAACTACTGAGATATCAACATTTAGAGCGAATGCCTTAAGGACTGAAATAATTGTGAACCGGTGTGTGAAGTTTCCATCTATATATTTGTACGCGTACAAACACATTGATTCCTGAAAGCTTCAATCTTAATTGGCGCTAAAATTATTTATAATTTTAAATAAATAAGATATTCATAGATACATTTGTAGCAATATAAAAGCAACAATTAGCAAGTAATATTTCAACAAGATTTTAATTTATCGTAAAATTAACTTTTGAACAAATATTTGGCGTCAATATTTGTAATGGCCGAGATAAAGTTATGAACATATCCAGTATCATTTATTCAAATGATAGGGATTTGTGTTTTACGAAATTATCAGCAAGTAGTTTTTAAAGAATACAAACATCCACAGATATATTAAGATGAAAGGATTAGGCCACATTTAAGTTGGAAAGTAAAAAAAAAAAAATTCAAATAACATCCTGCATAAGTGGATCTATACTGTCTAAATAATTATTTTTTTAATCTGTCATACTTATTTGACTAAGGCCTCCAAACCTTACACTGAATGAATAAATGGGGGAAACCTGCAGAAAACAGCATTTTTTTCATATTTTGTCATTTGTCATTAAACATTCATATTACCCAAAACTATATATGTCTTATGCAATGATGTAAGAAAAAATCTGTTTTGTATGGCTGATGCTCATATTTAATTAAACTCAAACGATGTGTGTAAAATAGTTATTTTAGTTCAAATAAATGTGATCGAATTTATGCATGTTTTTTACACAACGATGACATTTCTGCACAAAAATGACCATGCTATATTATATCATTCATTTACCAATATTTTTATTTGAAAAAAATAAATCTTATAGTCTTTGCAGTTTCAGGGGTAAATAAGCGCATTTTATTAGTTAATTGAATTATATTTTTTTACTGATAGTAATACTGATTGTTATAAACAAGACAACTTCACGGTACACAGGCTTATTTGTGAGGGAACAAGAGTGGTACATATATGTACTAGTTAGACAACTACCAACTAAAAAACTGCCATTTAGTTAGACAACTACCCATTTAAATATTTATTGACAAATTTACCTTACATTGATCTGTATGTAAGTGTGTGCATTGACTGTAAATATTATCAACAAAAATCTATTTGAACACTAAACTAGCACTTGTCTTTTCGCTATTTGACATATAAATAAAAGCTTGCTGTCTAATTGCACACAACATGTATTGTGTAGAAATAATGTATTTAACCTGAGACTACTACATTTAATTTATCTATTGGCTCCAGATTTGACCGAATAAAGATTTCTCTACAATTTTAAGTTTTAATGTGTTTGAATCTCTTTAACGAAATGCCATTACAATTCAAGTTATGTTAATACGGTGTATATGTTTTCAATACCTTTATAATATGCTGTTGAGCATTTTAATTCGTTTTAAGTAGGTCTGCTGTGTTAGTTATTTTATTTGAATTATTGATAAAAATATTCAATTTAAATACGGCAATAACACTTTTAATTACCTTCGATTGTCATATTTCACAATATTCAATTTTATCGTTTTGAATAGAGGAAATTTTAAAACCTTCTTTAATGATTAATATTTTGCGTTCCTATGTTAAATAAATTGAAAAGTATTTTTTTTATCATAAATGTTTAAGAGAGATTTCGTGCTTCGGGCAAAATTTTAAATAAAAGTTCTGTAATCCGAATGCATCGCGTTTTTCGTCGTTTTGGAACGTGAAACAAGAAAACAATAACTTGTACTAATCAGAGCAGCCAAAACCGTCATATCCCAAACACCAAATACCACGAGGGAACAATTGAAACATTTCTTTCAATGAATAACATCATCAACACTTTAAATTTTCTGTAAAGTTCTAGAACTCTTTAAATCAAATGTGTCCCTTTAATATTTTACTGAAAGTTGTTTCTGAAGAATAACGATACAGCCAAATAATGCATATCCATTAAGGTAGATCACAAGCTGTGTTTTTCTACCGGGCATTATTAGTTCACAACTATTATTTTTGAAATACCAAGTAATTAAAGTTTGGACTGCAATTTACAATTTCATTTTATTTTAAAATGTCCGAAATATGACAATATAAGAAAATTGTATTGTATTATTATACAAATGCATCTGTTTTTAAATTAGTTCAGTTATTGTCAACAAAGAATGTATCGGAATTGTCTAATTTAGGAAAATATTTGAAATACGCCACAGATATAAAATTTTCAAGACAATCCTTTGAATAATTTGTACTTTGTAGAATATTTTATAGTGTGTCTTTCTATGTTGTGATGTTACACTATTGTTTCAGATAGGGTGAAGGTTGGCGCCTATTAAAACGTTTACACCCGCTACATTTGTTTGCACCTGTCCTAAGTAGGAATCAGATGTTCAGTGGTTGTCGTTTGTTGATGTGGTTCATAAGTGTTTCTCGTTTCTCGTTTTTTATATAGATTAGACCGTTGGTTTTCCTGTTTGAATGGTTTTACACTAGTCATTTTTGGGGCCCTTTATAGCTTGCTGTTCGGTGTGAGCCAAGGCTCCGTGTTGAAGACCGTACTTTGACCTATAATAGTTTACTTTTACAAATTGTGACTTGGATGGAGAGTTGTCTCATTGGCACTCATACCACATTTTCTTATATCTATTGCCTCCTATTGTACTTAAAATGTTCTGTAACAGTTATGATATACATGCATATATTTATGATATACCTATCAGCTGTATTGCTTCTGGTTTGAAATAAACTATTAAACAATAATTCCCTTAACTAAGCAGTTAATCTTAGGATTGAAATAGAAAATCGAACGTTGACCTTAAAGTCAATAGTGTTTGCATGCTGTATTCTCGAAGGGACTTATTATATCCACATCATATCTTGGTTTCACAAAGAGGATTTTGATAATACATAAAGTTATTCCGTTTAATTCAAATATAGACCCTTTAATTGGGTTGTTGTATACTATAAAGAGCCAACGGTCTTAAATGGAAACAATATATCATGATTTTAAAGCTTAGACCATATAACAATTGATTTAAACTTCATCTAACACAATGCATTTGGAAACAAATAAGACATTCACAATTGTATCCATGATGTTTGCTTGTACATGTAAGTAAACGGAGATGTACGTCAATGAGACAGCAACCAAACAGCATAAAAATTCCTAAAAATCTATAGATCAACATATGGTCTTTAACAATAGACAGGTGGGTGTCTAGAATAGCAGTGAATAACAGACAATCAAAGATCTGCTGTTACACCAACTTTAACAAAATGACTCGAAAACAACCTGATTACATGTCAAAATACAACCACTTACAAGTTTCCAGACATGAGACAGGCAGATGCAGATGTTGCAGGGGTACATTAGTCTCTGGGAACGCTCAAAACTAAACATTTGAAAGCCAACTCTGCATTGCATACGTACCGAAATACATGAAGAGATATACGACCAACAAAGACCTAACAATAATAGCTAATAATATCCATCTTAAGTCAACTTGGGAATTATCCAATTGAACGTTGGTATAGTGCCATTGTTATAGAACTCTGCCTCTTACGGCTACAAAGTATTTAGTTACTCAATGGCATAAAACAGTACAATAAATGTATTCAT